TCCTTGCCTTGCTCCTTGGTCTATATGCTCTGCTGGAGGAGAATCAGGAGAATCAGGAGGAGGAGGAGGAAGAGGAGGAGGAGGAGGAGGAGGAGGAGAAGAAGGAGAAGAAGAAGAAGAAGAAGAAGAAGTAGAAGAAGAAGAAGAAGAAGAAGAAGAAGAAGAAGAAGAGGAGGAGGAGGAGGAGGAGGAGGAGGAGGAGGAGGAGGAGGAGGAGGAGGAGGAGGAGATGATTGAGATTTTGTTTTCTGGGGTAGCTTGACTCAATCTTGCCCAAACCAATAACAACTTCAGGAAGGCTGCCATCTCGGGGTGTTGATAATCCGAGCAGAATGCGGACTTTGTAGCTATTTTTCTAGAAGACCTTTGATCTTGATCATCTTGGATCAGAGAGCTTCTTCACTGGGCGTTATGAATTCCCCATCCCATGAGCTGGAGGAAAAAAACCAGAAGAGCAAAGCCAGGCCAATATTGTTCAGGGGGTTGTAGCGGTGCCCTTTGGTTGGCTTACTGGTTTCTGTCCTGCTTGCCTGTGTCTTTGGCCTTCAAAGATGGGTGGGACCAAGAATTTGCTCGGAGGGAGGCAAGCAGGGCTCCTTCCTTCCTTTTTGTCAAAAGAACTGTTCGAGAGTCTTTCCTTTGTGCTCTTCATTTCCAAACAGTGAGGGGAGAGATGAGCATAGAGTCCATTTTTGCCTTCCCATCTTAAAACAAAGCCCATCGTCCACCAAAGCTCGTCAACCTTGGCTTTAAGAAGCATAGAATATCTGCTTTGGAGTCTGTATCATCTATCTCACTAATGACTAGAGTAGAGTAGGGTAGAGTAGAGTAGAGTAGAGTAGAGTAGAATAATAGAATTAGGAATAGGAATAGAATAGAACAATAGAATAGAATAGAATAGAATAGAATAGAATAGAATAGAATATGAAATGGAGAGAAGAGAAGAGAAGAGAATAAGGAATAGAATAGAATAGAATAGAATAGAATAGAATAGAATAGAATAGAATAGCAAAGTTGGAAGGGACCTTGGAGGTCTTCTAGTCCAGCCCCCTGAATCATTTCAGACAAATGCTTGTCCAATCTCTTCTTAAAAACGTCTAGTTTTGGAGCATTCCCAACTTCTGGAGGCAAGCCATTCCACTGGATAATTGTTTTCACTGTCGGGGGAAATGTCTTTTGTCCTGGATTAGTTTCCATCCGTTGCTTCTTGTCCTTCCTTCAGGTCTTTTGGAGAACACCTTGACACCCCCCCCCCCCGCCCTCATCTTTGTGGCAGCCCCTCAAATATCGGAACCCTGCTATCATGTCACCCTTAGTCCTTCTCTTCACGAAACTGGACATACCCAATTCCAGCCACCGTTCTTTTATGTGTTTCTAGCCTCCGGTGCCGCGTTGACTGTTGAGTATTCCACCTTTGCATAGACCCTCTAGTGACTGAAGATGGTTAATCACTGGGCTGTAAGGCCAGGAGAGTGGAGACAGACAGCTGCAGGAAAAGGGGAGGAAATTAAAAAAAAAACACACACACAACTGAGTGCGGAGGCTTTTATTCTGAAGCAACCTTGGCTTGGCTCTTGGCTTTTGTTGGATCCGCTGCTAAGCCGACATTTCTTTGCTTGGGAGGGTTGGATATTAGATTTCTCTGCCAATCACAGGCCGATAGATTGGGGATGGGAAGACTCTGGGCTCCAGGGAAGTTCCTCTCGCTCTAAGTGGAGCAGGGAGGGCGGTGGGGGGGGCAATGGAGGTGGCAATGGAGGTTCTGCTAGGATTGCTGGGAGCACGTTGAGGCTGGGGGGTGGGGTGGGGAGGAAAGATTGGGTGGCCATTGCAAAAAAAGAAAAAAAAAAAGAGAAAGAAAGAAATGGCTTCTGGGTTAGCTTTTCCCGTGCATGGGACTCCATGGCTCTTGGGTTGAGTTCTTCATGGTTCTGTTTGGTGTGCATTGATTGACCTCTACAGCTTTGGGCTGGATCCAGAAGGGAGAGAATCTTTCCTTGGAGTTGAAGCAAGGTGATTGTCCCCTGCGTGGCTTCTGAAGGCTTTAAACCCCCCCCCCCACCCCCCCAAAAAAAACTCGGCCGAGAACAGCTTGCCAAACAAAGAGCCAATGGAGGGGAGGGGGCATTTCCACCCTGGCTGTTGAGTTTTGGGGGGAGTTAAAAGAGGGGACAGAGGAAGCCAGGGTGTTTTGATGACGATCCATGACGTGCATGGCAGAAGGAAAAAAAGGTGGTGTAGGCTGAGCGTTGGATGTTAGCAAGGCTTCCTAAGAGTTAAAAGAGTCTTCAAGGGCGAGCCAGTTAGAGAAAATGGTGGATTCTCTTTTGTCAAAGAGCTAGACGGACATCTGTTGTTGGGATTGTTTAATTTGGGATTGTTGTGTGTTGAGCACGGACTTCGCCCAGGCTAAGCTCGGCCGTTCGGTGGGTTTTCTCGCACTAGAGAAGTGAACAGGAACAAGGGCTGTCATGGACATCACAAGCAGTGGAAGACTTTCAAAAGCATCCTTGTATGGTTTCTGGGATGTAAACTGGCAGGCTTTTGGAAGGCCCAAGGAGCTTGGGAATTTAGAATATGACTAATTAAAAGAACCTTCAAGGGGAGAGAAAAAAAATGAATAAGACGTGTGTCACTTCGGAAACTTAAAATCCTTCACCAGTCTCAGATTCGGTCTTGACTCTAGATAGGAGTTGCTTGGTTTTTGACAATTTTGGGAAGGGTTTTGAGGCCTGTTGTAGAACTTATTTAAAAACCATGTCACCCACCAGACAAGATGGCTTCATTTGTTATGATGTGGCTGGCCAGGCTTTTTTTTTTTTTTTAAAGACAAACTAAAAAAAAAAATTTTGTTCTTTGTGTATACTCAAAACCCATTTTGGAAATGTTGATTGTTGAGCGGTGCTCTTTCTGGTTGAAACTTTTCCTCGTAGTTAAACCTAGGGAATCCCATCAGTTTAATTCTGATTTTAGAGAACGGAATCTTCCTTTACTTTGTTCAGAGTTGGGTTTTTATTTTTTTATTCCTCCCATGCCCTTAACGTTCATGATCTCATCTAAATATTGTCTGGGTTTCTTTAGAATGAATTTGCAAACGCATTTAGGTTGCTTGTGTACGATCCACCCGATGAGATACGACTTATACGCTACGGGATTGATGTTAAAAAAAAAATGTGCAGCTCCAGATCTTAGGATTTTAGGACGTCTGGATGTCTATGGAGATTCTCCGTCATCCAGGTTCATGGTTGTCCCAAAGATGCTTTTTCAAAAGGCAACTGGATTTTTTTTGTTTTTCCTTGAGGACGTTTCACCTCTCATCCAAGAAGCTTTTTCAGTTCATTCATTCAGAACTGAAGAAGCTTCTTGGATGAAAAGTTGAAACATCTTCAAGGAAAAAACAAAGTCTGGTTGCCTTTTGAAAAAGCACCCGTGGGACGGGACTCCTGGGTATTGTTTTCAGACAAATCGGTGCTATATCCAGAGGTCTAGGATTGCATGCTTGCCTTCTCCATTAGATTTTTATGTCCAGGCATAAGGACAAGGAAGCAGGACTGGGGAAAAAAATGGCATCTGATCCAGTCAGCTGTTTCCCCAGATATATGAGGGCAACCAGTACAGACTGGTTAAAACAAACCCTTTTGGGACAGAAGTAGGTGAAAGGAATCTTATCAGGATGAAACGTAGTCATGAAATTCTTTAAAGCATGTAATCCTACATACATAGCCAATGACATGCTTCCTCATTTGGTCCTTCCGATCCACAAATTTAGCCGTTAGGCCCGGTCCTTTCTTTTCCAAAATTGAGACTTATGGGAAAAATGGTTGTGGCCCACCAACCATGTGTGTGTGTGTGTGGAGGGGGGAGAGATCAAGATTTAGTTACCTGTGTAAAAAAAAAAGTGCTTTCCGGAAGAATGTATATTTTGCCAGAACTGTGGAAGTGGTTGGTTCTCAATTTCTCTTTTGAACCTCGGGCTTCATAAAGGGAGACTTGCGTGTTTGATTGAGGCTTCCATTTGACGGCTCCTTTTTGAACTGAACTTTCTGCCAGATAATTGGTTTTGGAAATCTGGGATGCACCCCTTCTAATTCTAATATATTCTTGTGTTAGATGCCTTTGTTTCTTGATTCGACATTGCACCGAAGGACGGGAACTGAATTTAGGATGGCCTGGCTCAAAAGTCTTTTAGTATCTATGCTCCTTTGAAAACTTGCTGTATTGATACTCAGTATAACCCAACTATCTCTGTGGCCTTCCAAATCATCCTTGTTCCTTTGACGATCCCATAATTATTTCCACCTTTAAAAAAATCAACAACAGATAAACCCAGAGAATCGAAACTCAACATTCCAAGCCTAGAACGATGGAGTATAACGTAGGGCATCTTATCAGCAGAAGAGAATTAAGGTTGAACTGTCTGGGGTGCTCTCTCTGAACTTGACAATTTGCTTGGGGATGTTTCACAAAGGTCTACAAGAAAATGTCTACAAGAAAACCACCAAGCTCAGAACAGCACCAAGGACCCCCTCAGAACCAAACAACCAGACATCTCAATACATCGTAATTGATTGTAAGATGTTGCTGGGTTGAGTTTGGTCATCTTTGAAGCGCCTTGTGGCTTTAACCAGTTTGCTTTTCCAAACATCATCGTAGCGTAGAGTAAGGTGGAACAATGACTTGGTTAAAACCGTGAAAGGGATGTTGACTTGGGTGGGCGGGCGGATGTTGAATTCCCTACAAGAAAGAAGTTGAGTGCAGAGGAAGAAGGTAAGGTGGGCGGCCTGTAAATTTGATCGATCGATCAATCAATCAATCAGTCGACCAGTCTTGGAAGTTCAGGCTGTCCTCTTCCTTTCTTCATGAATCGTGAATCTGGCCTGGGGATTAAAATGCACCTTCTTCATCAATGCTTGTTGCCGGTTCATAAACACAAACACTGCATCGTTTATTTATTTCTATTTCCTACATCTTAACCTTTTTTTTCTCCCCCGTTTAGCAAGCTCTGATGAGTAAGGGAGAGACCAGACGAGAGAGTTGCATGAAGACGGAGCTGTTGAAAGACATCACCAACAATAAAGAAGAAGGTGAGTCCATCTTTTAGGTCCAGGCTGTCCTCTTCCTTGCATATGGAGAACAACGAACCTCACCATTGAGTGGCTAGGATTCTCTACCTCCAATTAAGATGTTGCCAATGTAAGCATAACCCTAGTTCATTTCTAAAGATTACCACAGGTGACTTGTCTTCTCTTACAGTTGGGTATAAATGTCAGCATTCTGCTTGGTCTTCTCCTGATTTGAATCCAAGCCTAGACATAGATAGTTAACTCTCAGCCTTTGCTGTCATTTACATTGAACTGCACAAGGATATAATCCTTTTAAGAGTAAGTTCTCCAAACGCTTTCCTAGTTTAACAATTTACTCATTTTAAAGTACAATTCTTTGGCTGGTGTTTTTCTTTGTAGTTATCTGCCACAGGTCGTAGACACAGAAACCCCAAAGACATTCTGTCTTTCACAGCGTGGACTTTGTGACTTATGTGTGACTCAGAAACACGATAACACCATCCAACATTGGCTTAGAACTGCATGTAAAGCTGAGTTGACTTTCAGCGATGAAATATCTCGCCAGTCCCTTGTACCATTAGAGTCCCTGCATCAATATTACCAATATTACTGCCATTATGAACCCTTCCCCTTACACCAGATGCAGTAGGAGAAGAGCAGGCAGAGCTGGGGAGGGTGAAGTTAAACCCACCATCCACCCATTCACACAAGTGTTCAAGAGTCAATTTCGTTGGCTCTTACCTGGTGCCAATTTAGGGTTGAACTTGAGTCGACCAGATTCTTGCGTCTAGGCTTGAATAAATTTATGCTGCAGCCTAATTGGTGGTCCTGATTTTTTTTTGAGCCTGACATTTGCTGTTCTTCCCTCTTGGCATTCCCTCATTTTTTTTTCATTTCTCTCTTCTCTCTCTCTCTCTCTCTCTCTTTCTCTAGGATTTAATGCTATGGCCGCCGGCGATGGCGCCATAGACAAGCAAGTTGGCGAACTCAAGATGGCTCCCGACGGCGAGACCAACGGCTCCCTGGAGTGCAACGAATTCAACGGCCACCCCAGCGTAGCCAAGAACACTCAGGACAATGCCAAACTGAGCCAAGCGGACTCGGTGGCCAAGCTGAGCCGGATAGCAGAGAATGGCTTTTCCGAACGAGACGGGGATGATGGGAAGTCCAACCACCTCAAAACAAACGACTTCACCCAGACCACCGTGACGGGCAGCAATGGGTACATTTTGCCCAAACAGATGGCTCAGGATCTGCCCGTCAGGACTTCGAATAGCGGTTTTGCTTCTCTGCCGGGCCACGCCGCGAAGACGCTTCCGGCCGGAGGGAGCAAAGGGAGAACTTTCGGCCCTTTTATGCAGGCACAGGGCGCTCTCCCGGCCAAGTTTGGAGACGGGTGCGGCAAAGACTCGGAAGCTAAAAAAACAGGCGGGATTAAGGTCCACCGAGCCCGGAAGACAATGCCCAAGTCTCCATCTCACCTGGTAATGTGTATATAATAACAATAGCACTTCGAATTCTATACCGCGTCACCGTGCTTGACACCCTTCTCTAAGCGGTTTACAAAGTCAGCATATTGCCCCCCAACAATCTGACTCCTCATTTTACCGACCTCGGAAAGAAGGAAGGCTGAGTCAGCCTTGAGCCGGTCAGGATCGAACTGCTGGCAGTTGGCAGAATTAACCAGTATGACCTGGATGACAGAGAATCTCCACAGACATCCAAGCCATTGGGATGTTCTGTTAATTAAAACGTGGTTGTCTTTTGGCAATACTTGCCGAAAGGACTTTTGCTACGTTGCTAGATCTATCTGATCAGAGACGGACAGATTAGCCCCCTTTTCATGGCTCTCCTGATCATTTGCGATAGATCGGCCAGGGATTCTAACTCCCAGCAGCCAAAAACCATCACAAGGCAGGATTTTAAATAGGTATTTCTCTCCTCAACCTCTTGTGCTAATAGGCTGTCTTTCGGCCTCCAGCATACCCTGCCTGCAAGCTCTGAGTATTGATTGCCTGCCCTACTCTGCGAAGCCATACGTTTAAAGACTTCCCACCAGACTGCACGGTGGGAAATTTCTCAGGATTGCCCTTTTTGGGGGGGGGGGTTTAAAAAAAAAAACCCCTCAAAGAAATGGTTCCTCTAACAATTCCTTTTTTATTTATTTAATACATAAAATACAAAGAAAAATAGAAATAAGAAATTCCAGGCTCCAGCCATATGTTGAGGGCTAACTTTTATTAATAACCTATGGCAGTGGTGGCGAACCTATGGCACGGGTGCCAGAGGCGGCACTCAGAGCCCTCTCTGTGGGCACATGCGCCGTCGCCCCAATCCTAGGCTTTTAGCTGGGTTTTATAAAACCTTTTCACTTTAGGCCTCCGCCGCCATGTACAAAAAAAAAAAAAAGGTTCAATCAGTCAATTTCAATTTCTTGCGGGAAAAAAAAAGATCTTGCAAAGTTGGAATTGATTGATTGAACTTTTTAGTCCCACCCAGTCTGCCGTTACCACCGCAGCCACACCCACCCAATGGGCCACACCCACCCAATGGGCCACACCCACCCAATGGGCCACACCCACCCGGCACTCGACGATGCATAAGTGGGTTTTGGGTTGAAGTTTGGGCACTCAGTCTCTAAAAGGTTCGCCATCACTGACCTATGGCATGAACATAGTGGAGGTCACATTGGGCAAATGGAATATCTGTACGGTTAAGCCAATTTTAAACTGAGCAACCTTTATTCTAGGTTATTCCTAGAATGCGCAAGGATTTATATTTCTAACAGTTCTAAAATTCAGACATCCAGGCATTCTGATACACGTTTTGAGGTCTGGTTTTTTTGTTTTTGCTTTTTGCAAATCTAAATAATGCAAGGGAAATGTGAGCCATTGAATGGCTGTTCTTGAAGACATTTGCTGATAATTCCGGTAAAAGATAACGTCCAGGTAAAGCTTTGAACCGATTTGAACATTTAAAACATGTCAAAAACGTTTTCTTTATCAGATATCTCAAAAGATTCCATCTTGATTGCTTTTGGTGATTGGAAAATCTTTTTTTGGGGGTTTTAGTTATTTATAACAGATCACATTAGCAAGCCATATGTTTTCTTTGCAATTCTCAAAAATTAAAAGAAGAACAGTATCAATCCGTTTTCCATCACTGGATAATTACAAGTGAAATTTAACTTTATAGGAGAATGTTTGCCTCTGGCATAGTTTTGGGGGATTGACGTGGATCCTACAAAACGCGATCAAACTACCCAGTGTTTTAAATTATGGTGCAGGATGCACATCCTAGGATGGACTTTTTAGTAAACACATGTCCCATGGTTCTTCGGAAAGAAGTACTGTATGTATATACATACAACCACATGGGCCTTTGAATCAATGTTGATTCCTAGTGACCGTCTGGAGAAATCCCTGAAGTTTTCTTGACAAAAGTTTTGGAAATGTTTTGCCCTTAACCTCCTTCTGAGAAAAAAAAAGGACTGGCTCACGGTCAATCCAGTCGGCTGAACTACATCTCCCAGCTACCTGGTTTCCAGCTTGGTACCAGTTCCCATGCTACAAACATGACATGCAGCTATGATGGTTTCAGTTTTGAGGTTATGCTTCTTTACCAAGTTTCGTTCTAGTTTTAGCCAGCCTGGGCACCTCTTCATGAGGGAACCAGCTTCTAGAATTCCTCAGCGGCGTGGCCCCGTGCTTAAATGGGAGTTGAAGCCCATACCCCCTGTTGGATGTGGCTGCTTTCATGGGTTCCATTCCTTGCTACTATTTTGGATCTGCTTCTATCTGATCCCAAAGTTATTTCACCGAATGGAACACATACACACACACACACACACACACACACACACACACTCTTTTAAGTGTGGTTTCCCTCTCTTATCCCAAAGTTGCTTTTTCAGGAGGTAACTGGACTTTCTTGTTTTTCTTTGAAGACATTTTGCTTCTCATCCAAGAAGCTTCTTCAGCTCTGACTGGATGGTGGAAGATGGAAGGATTTATACTCCTTGCAGACAGCTGGTCATTTGCATTCTTTTAGACAGTTGAGACCACTTGAAGTTTAACCAGTGCCCTCAGGCTCCACACCCATTTGCACCATTCAGGTGACCCTGAGGACACACGGAGACTTCCAAATGGCCTCAACGGCTCTCTAAAAGAAAGCAAATGACCAGCGGTCTGCAAGGAGTATAAATCCTTCCATCCTCCACCATCGAGTCAGAGCTGAAGAAGCTTCTTAGATGAGAAGCAAAACATAGGTAAACCTCCAAGTGTCCTCAATGACTCTCTAAAAGAAGGCAAATGACCAGCTCTCTGCAAGGAGTATAAATCCTTCCGCTCCCCACCATCCAGTCGGAGCTGAAGAAGCTCCTTTTGGATGAGAAGCAAAACGTCTTCAAAGAAAAACAAGAAAGTCCAGTTGCCTCCTGGAAAAAGCACCTTTGGGGGACAGCCATGACCTGGATGACCGAGAAGCTCCATAGACCCTTTCCACTCTTCGTCCCTTCCCTCTTGCAAAATATAAAAAGGTGCTTTTCGACTTCTGTTTTTCAGCATCCCAACAAAGACCCCAAAGAAACGAGAACGCCTAAGGAAGACGGCAGCAAAGCCGTTCTGGAATTCGGAAAGCCCACCTCCTTGTCCTGCCTCCCCGGCCTTCACTCATCTCTACCTCAGAATCAGAGCTATGCGGCTGCCTCAAAATCACAGACAGGTAAAAAAAAAGGGGGGGGGGAGAAGAAAAAGAAAACTCGGGTTAGAGAGCTCCTTGAAGTGGAACGGTCTGAGAAAAGACGAGGTTGGGTCTCCATCCTTGAATGGAGAGAAGGGGATCTGGGCTCCTTCCAGATCTTTTAACCTCCCAAGCTCTATCTAAAGTCCCCGCACGGACGTGTGTAAGGTCCTGCCTCAACTATCTTCTCGGGAAAGCACGACTCTTGAAAGAAGCCTTATTTCCCAAGGGTCTTTTACTGAGAGAAAGTGATTGCAGAGAAGTTGGGTGGAATCTGAAGTTCCCGCGGCAAAACGTTAAGATAATTCCCCATTTCTCCAAACCCCAATCCACCAGGAACCAATCCGGTGGCGTGAAGGTGATAACAAATTGCTTCTGACCTTGGTAACAGGTGGGGTTAGTCCAACTAGATGGTCCTGGGGGCTCATCCCCCCCCCAATTCCCATGCAGATACGTCAAAGCGAAAAAGTAGGAATAATACAGAAACCTCTTCAATCCCCAAGGAACCAGTTCCCTCTCTCCTGGGATTGGCAGGGACCTGACATCGTGGCTCCCAAATTCTATCCCCTCCAATCTGAAGACCGACGGCAGTTGTAATCGCGAACAATCGGAGAGCAGTTGATATTAGATCTTTGGTGCTTTCCCTTTGTGTGTAGTATGTGTGACGGGGCAGTGATTTTTAGAATCTTAGAAGGAGCTGCGTTAAGAACCTGTTTAAACCAGAATTATTTTTGTTAGGAATAATAGGAGCCGATTATGAGAAAGATTGCAGATATTTAATACTGCATGTACGAACGGCAGCAAGAATTGTATTTGCCCAACACTGGAAAAATGAAAACTTACCAGCTCAAGAAGTACTAATTAAGAAAATTCTAGAGTGTGCAGAAATGGACAGACTGACTTTAAAGATAAAAGAGAAAGAAGACTCCGTGAACTTTAGAACATGGGATAATTTCTATCCATGGCTAGAAAGACGAGTCAGAGAGAAAGGAACGTGATATGTAATTTTGAATATATACTAGCAAGAAGAAGGCTATTGAGTGATTAATTAATATACTGTTTATGCTAATTAACTATTATCTATTATTGTTTGTTAAATACATGAACCCAGACATTATGCTCTTTGCTAATTATTGACAATGTTATTTGGAAAAATCCCAACCCCAACCTTAACCTTTATCCCAACCCCGACCCCACCTTATTCCTAACCCCATAAAAACTAATAAAATTTATATATATATATAAAAAGAACCTGTTCTGGGTAGGGTTCCTCCCAGCCTGTCCCAGCAGAACCCGCCTTCTCCCAGCCCCTGATGGATCTTCCTCTGTGTCCCCCCCGTGCAGCTACTTCCGTATCTCGAAAGAAAAAACGAAGAATGGGAACATACAGCTTGGTTCCCAAGAAGAAGACCAAAGTTTTAAAGCAGAGGACGGTGATCGAGATGTTCAAAAGCATCGCTCATTCTCCAGACGGCAAGGTGAGAAGCAGGTAGAAGGTAGCCAGGTGTATCAAATGCTCTTCACATGGGGTTTGCTTGCATTGTCAGGCACACCTACGAAAGTCTCTCCCCTCTTGGAGTCAGTAGAGAGCCATGGATAATTCCTAGAGACACCATGGAATTGGAATCAGAATAGAGCTGGAAGGGACCTTGGAGGTCTTCTAGTCCAGCCCCCTGGTCAAGCAGGAGGACCTATACCATCTCAGACAGGTGGCTGTCCAGTCTCTTCTTAAAATCCTCCAACAATGAAGCACCTGTTCTGATGGCAAGCAGTTCCACTGGTTAATTGTCCTCACTGTTAGGAAGTTTCTCCTTAATTCCAGGTTGCTTGTCTCCTTGATGAGTTTCCATCCATAGTTTCTTGTCTTGCCTTCTGGTGCTTTGGAGAATAAATTGATCCCCTCCTCTTTGTGGCAGCCCCTCAAATACTGGAATACTGCTGTCATGTTCCCCCTGTTCCTTCTTTTCTCTAGACTAGCCAAACCCAAGTCCTGCAACCGTTCTTCATATGTTTTTGTCTCCAGGCCTCGAATCATCTTAATTGCTCTTCTTTGCACTTTTTTTTTTTTTTAAAAGTCTCAACATCTTTTTTGTAAGGTGGTGACCAAAACTGGATGCAATATTCCAGGTGTGGTCTTACTAAGGCTTTACAAAGCGGTACTAATAGTTCACGTGGTTTTGATTCTATGCCAAGGATTGTATTAGCTTTGTTGGCTGCTGCACGCACACGGCCGGCTCTAGATGAACTAGATGGAACAGTAATTTTCACTTTCCTCCGTTCCACAAAGTATTCAAAATGTCCGTGAGTTCTAGACTCACCATGGACCTTTCTGTGTTGGAATGTCCAGGTTGAGAAGGAGGAGGGCAGCCCACACTTGAACGGGGAACGATTAGATATTGATTCCGAAGAAGACGACTCGGATGAGCTGGAGGAAGAAGAAGAACGTGGAGCATATCAAACGGCCACATTTCCCGTGGAGGAGAACAGAACTGCTATTGAGAGAGAACCAGTGGCTGTTAGCAATGCCAGAAAGGTGATCCGTATTCTTCTCTGGAGGACTGTGGGTCTAAAATTATTGTATTATGATATAAATTATGTATATAATAGATTATTTAAAGTCTTGTGAAAAGGTCCGTCATCCAGAGGGAGAGTTCTACACCTTGTTATGTATCTCAGGTCTTCTTTGTCCACCGTGAAAAAAAAAACTCACAAGAGTTATCATCTTAACTTCCAGCTTGATGTGTGTGTTGTTATCACACTGGACCCTTGGCCCTGTTGGAGAAAGATGAGACTCCAATTAGAAGACCCAAAGATGTTCTTTCTTAGATCTGGAGAACCTAAAAGAGAGCATTGAAAGACAAGGTTGAGAACTTGACTTGGCTTGAAGTAACTGATGACATGAAGGACCTCTATTTTAGGCTAATTTGTCAGGATAGACAAAGGATAGGAAATCTGTCCCAAAGGTGCTTTTTCAAGACTTCCAAAATTTCGGGAAAAGCACGTTTGGGGACAACCCTGACCTGGAGGATTGAGATTCTCCATAGACCTACAGGCACCAAGATAGAATAACCTACAGACTCTGGACAGGTGTGTGAGACCCAGTTTTGCTTCGATCCTTTCAGCAGGGGTTGCCTTCTCTGTTTTCACGTGAGCTTCTTTGGCCGTCACAGATGGTGGACGGAGAATCGGAGGAGGAACAAGATTCCGCAGACTCCGTGGAAGAGGAGGAAGACGGCGATGAGTCGGATTTGGTGAGTGCCGCCTTTCTCGCCCCGTGCTTCCAGAAGGAAGCGACGGCGAGGAACCCAGCACCATCCAGGCCCAACCAAGGGAATCCCGTTGTTATTGCAAGACCTCCTCTGTTTTGTTTTGTCTCCCTCCCTCCCTTGCTTGATCCGGTTTGCATCCACATTGTGGTTTTGTTGGGGTTTTTTTTTTTTGTCTCTTTTGACGGTTTCAAGGGGAACCGTGGACGCCCGTCTCTTCAATAAAAGTCTGTTGCTTTCTTGTCAGGCCTCAGCAGGGGTCTGCTCTTGGTTGCCAGGTGCCAAGGCCAAGGCGCGGTCCAGACAGGCATGCCCAGAGCTGGAAGAAGCAGGACAGAAGCAGGCACGTAGCCCAGACAGACCCTGCCCAGGGCCGAGTTCTGCAGGAGGCAAGGCAAGACGCCCCGAGGCTGTTGCTGCTTCTGCTGCTGTTGCTGCTTCTGCTGCTGCTTCTTATCAAGAGCCATTGCTCAGACTTTGGGGCTTCAGTGGACCAGGATGGGCTCTCCCCACCCACCCGCTAAGGAATTGCCCGGTGTGTTGGATTACAACTCACATCGTCCCCTGCCAGAAGGGCTGGCCAGGCGTGACGGAGGATGTTGTAGGCTACCGCAGGGCTCTCTCCAACCAGGGCAATTTGAAGACTGGTGGATGAGGAATCCTGGGAGTTGAAGTCCACCAGTCTTAAAAGTCGCCAAGGTTGGTGAACCCTGGTTTATGCAGCCAGACGTGTGAACTTCAGCTCCCAGGATTCCTCAGCCAGTCTTGTGGATTCAACTCCCAGGATTCCTCAACCAACAGGGCTGACTGAGGAATTTTGGGAGTCGGAAGTCCACCAGTCTTAAAAGCCACCAAGGTTGGAGACCCCTGGGCTAATGTACTCGAAGGATCCCAGATTAGGGGAAAGTGCTGGCTTATGCATTGATTTTACGCTTCTCGCAGCCTATACGGCAACCTTTAACTCGTGGCCAGGCGATCGGAAGGAGAGCTGGATCATCCATGGTGCGATGCTGGGTCTCTCTCCACCCCTTCCCTCCAATGATCCAAGACATGCTTCCTCAAGTGCTTTCCGTCTCCTCTTCTGTCGTTCTGCAAACTCTGGCTTCGATCGCAGATCCCTGGTTTCGTTTCGTTCTGTTTTTCCTTGGGCCCTTTCTTCTCTCCCACTGAGCAGTCGTTGGCCTCAACTTCTAAATGACCACGTGGCTGTCCCCGAATTTACTGACGTTGGGTCATCAAGTTGCAGAAGTCTTTCAAAGTTTGGGGTCTGTTGGGGGAGAGGAGGGACCTGAGGTTGGGGGGGAAAATAGTTGGTCCCTGATTCAGGAAGGTGTATTCCGTTTGGCTCTTAGCTGTGGAGTGAATAGTGAGATTTCTTGATAGTCTGTGGCATTTAATTGGTGGGGGAGAATGTCTCAAAATTCAGACAATGAAGTTGAGGCAGAAGGAACCATAGCTTAGTTGAGGAATGGTGTCCACCATCTTGCAGATTTTGGCCTCCCCATGCAGAGACTTAATGATGATAGTGCAACCGATTGATCCACTCTACGGATTCTCCTGGTACAGTTCTATGAAAGTGGCTGGCAAAGAAGTCCCATGGTGTTCAACAAGACTTAACTTTTAAATAAACGTGAATAAGTTTGAGGCTGAGCAATGTAGTCCGGGTTCCTGACCGTAGTTTTTTTCTACAGTCAATCTACCTGTGTCTGTAGGACTTCTACACCAAAGAAATAGACATAAGATGATAATCTTGGATAACCGTGTTTCATACGTCCATGCAGAAGTTAGTTCTTGGATTTTAATGAGAGACATTCTCAGCTAAGGAAATAACAATAATAGAAGGGACCTTGGAGGTCTTCTAGTCCAACCCCCTGCTCAGTCAGGAAACCCTATAACATTTCAGACAAGTGGCTGTCCAGTCTCTGCTTAAAAACCTCCAGTGATGGAGCACCCACAACTTCTGGAGGCAACTTGTTCCACTGGATAATTGTTTTCACTGTCAGGAAATTTCTCCTTAGTTCTAGGTTGCTTCTCTCCTTGATTAGTTCCCATCTGCTATTTCTTGTACTGTATACAGCCAAATCCTGCAAAATGTATAGGTCTGAAACCTTGATTCTGGCAATTGGCCCACCTCTTACGAAAACAGTCCTCAAATACCTAGGTTTTCCTGGACTTGTCTCAGATCTGTCTGCAGATCTGTGATTAAAATTCAGTAACTATTATTGAATTTTAACTATTCAATTATTATATCATATGCCCATAGGACAAAAACTGCAGAAAGAAATCAATTCTTCAAAACGAAGGGGCCGAGAGCTAATCACTCTAATAATTGGTGTAAGAGATTTAATGTTCAGATATCGGACTTCTCTTAAAGGATTTTTAATTGGCTATTGTTTTTTTTTTTAAATTAAACATTCAGGACGGTCTTAAATCTTCACCTATGAGTAGGTAGCCGAAACAATTCATGGAACAGTAATATTAATTTTGCAGCGGCTTGACAAATAAAAACAACCCGTCTTTCTAGGAGATGCACGCAAACTGAACTCTTCCTATAGTCTGTTCTCTAACCGAATTAATAGTTATGTTACCAAGGTTACTCTTCCTTGCCTGGCTTGCAAAATAACTCAGGTTTGATCACAAGGACTGACAAGCTGTGATGGGAGGCATCGCTCTGAATCTATGACCATGAATCATAGTTCAGCTGTGGTTTACAGAACTCTCCAGGATATCCTGGTCGTAGTGTAACTGCAGACTATGGCTTAATCAGTGAGTGTTTTTTATATATATAAAAAAAACCACCAAGAAAGTACAGTTGCCTTTTGGAAAAAGCAGTGTGTGTGTGTATGCGCGTGCACGTGTATGTTTGTATTGCTTTTTCCAAAGGGCAACTGGACTTAATGGTTTTTTTAAAAAACAAACAAACAAACATTTTGCTTCTCATCCAAGTTAGATCCGAAGAAGCTTCTTGGATGAGAAGCGAAACGTTTTCAAAGAAAACACCAAGAAAGTTGCCTTTTTGGGGGGGGGAACCCCCACCACCTTTAGGATTTCTCATTGACAATTGGAGATGGCCTCCTGGTTTACTGGAGCATGCCCTCCATGTAGGCGTAGCGTTTTGTGCAAGCCAAACTACAATGGCTAATTTATTCAACCGGCTCTCGATTTAAAAAAAAACCAGGGTGGATTAGCCAGGCGACTTTGGACAATAACGATTGGGGTGGGAGAGCGGTTGCAAGGAAGGTTGAGATCATTTACCTGGAAGCCATCCAGGTTAGGTAAGGCTGGCTTAGCGTGAGGAACAAAGAGACCGTATTCATGGGAACCGCCATAGGGAAAGAGATTAAGGACTGACATATACTGTATGTTTGAGATAGAAGGACGTTCCGCTCTTTCCCGGTGCTAAATTGAGTTATTCTGCTTCCCCTGAAGGGAGGTAGGGACAGCTTGGGCAGGAAAGTGCTTCTCCGGGAACTGTAGTTAGAGAAGAGTGTGTCTCGACCAAGGCAAAAAGCATTTGTTGGTCTCCAGGACAATTCCAGGTTTGAATGAGGTGGATTTCTCCCATCCCTTCCCAGCTGAGATCATCTGAAGCCTTGGCCCTGACATTCGACTTCAGGGGCCTTCAAACTTGGCCCTGGTATGACTGGTGGACTTCAACTCCCAGAATTCCTCAGCCAGGCACGCTGGCTGAGGAGTTCTGGGAGCTGAAGTCCACCAGACATAATACCAGGGCCAAGTTTGAAGGCCCCTGTTCTACTTCTTGCCATCGGGATTTTGCCGAGTGCCTGGTGGTTCATCCACTGCTTGCTTCTAGCCGTGATTGTCTCTGAACTTGGCTGTTCTCTTGCAGACGTTTCGTTGCCCAAACTAGATAACTTCGTGAGTGAAACATCTGCAAGGAAACCACCCAGCTCAGAGAGCGCCAAGGACCCCCTCATCTCAACCCTGAGCTGCAAATATTCTCCTTTATTGGCCTGTCTCAACCTCAAGAAGGCAGAATGTCTTCCTTTGTGGTATATCTGCATTGTCCCCTAATGAAGGGCCCAGATGGAGCTATGGTGTCTGATCTCAGTTGCTTCTCCAAAGCTTCTCGTACCAAGAAAGCTTCTCTTCTCTTCTCTTCTCTTCTCTTCTCTTCTCTTCTCTTCTCTTCTCTTCTCTTCTCTTCTCTTCTCTTCTCTTCCCTTCCCTTCCCTTCCCTTCCAATCCTTTCCCTTTCCCTTCTCCTTCTCCTTCTCCTTCTCCTTCTCTTCTCTTCTCTTCTCTTCTCTTCTCTTCTCTTCTCTTCTCTTCTCTTCTCTTCTCTTCTCTTCCCTTCCCTTCCCTTCCCTTCCCTTCCCTTCCAATCCTTTCCCTTCTCCTTCCCTCCTTCTCCTTCTCCTCTCCTCTCCTCTCTTCTCTTCTCTTCCCTTCTCTTCCCTTCCAATCCTTTCCTTTCTCCTTCTCTTCTCTTCTCTTCTCTTCTCTTCTCTTCTCTTCTCTTCTCTTCTCTTCTCTTCTCTTCTCTTCTCTTCTCTTCTCTTCTCTTCTCTGTTCCCTCCCCTCCCCTCTTCATTTCATCCAACAGAACAAAATCCTTCTCCATTAGCATATTCTAGCAAACTTGCTATTATTCCATTGTGGTTCACATGGGAGACTATATAACATAACCAACGTAGCTTCTTGAAACCATGGTTTGAAATGTAGTATCCATTATGTCCCAACAGGGTGTTTTTGACTTTGAGTCTGGTTATAGAAGGCCGTAATTTTTGTGAGTGACACCTCTAATTGAATTCCTTCTCAAATTCCAAATGTTGGCATTATTATTATTATTATTATTATTATTATTATTATTATTATTATTATTATTATTATTATTATTATTATTGATCCATTATTGAAATATTTTTGGTATGTGTCTATGACTTGATACTGAGCCACTGTGACATGTAAATGCCCAGAACCACAGCAAACTGTGGTTTCAGGTAAGTTTACTAACCCAGGATCCTGTTCATTGATGGTTTCTCATTTTGGACATAATGGCAGAATTACGGTTAACGTGGATCGGGTTCAGTTCTCCGAAGGATGCATGTGTGAATCCATCTCTTGTGCTTTTATAGTAACCAAACCTAGATTGTTGGCTCCAAGTCAGCCTGTGGTGTGTTTTAACCCCTTTAACTAGGTTCTTTTGGTTTGTTCAGACTTGCTGATCTGCCTGCTTCCCATAACCTTCATGTCCCTCTTATCAAAATCTGTTTTTTTAATCGATTGTTAATTGATCTGTAGCTCAGTTTCCTTGTTCAGGGCCCTGGCTGAAAGGCTGCGTCTTTCTTCGTTGTGGTGGTTTTTCTTTTCTAATTTTTTGTTTAGATCCTTCGCACTCGGAAAGACCGGGCAAGACATTTTAACAAAATACATGTTAGTCGAGACTTAAATTATCCTGTGCTGTACTAGTAGTCCTCAGCTTACGACTTCAGTTTAAGCAAGGCGGTTGTTAAAGGAGTCACGTCTGATTTTACGACTTTTTATGCCAAGGTTGTTAGCGAACGACTGCAATTAAGTGACCCATGTGGTCATTAACCAAATCAGACACACACCCACACACACCCACACACACACACCGCTTGTTAGAAGCCAGCTGAGAAGGTCCCAAATGGTGATCCCAAATGATGGTCCTGCAGCCCTTGCAAAGGGATGCCGGTTGCCAAGCGCCTGAAATTTTGATCCGGTAACCGTGGGGAGGTTGCCGCGGTTGCAAGCTCGGGTACCGGTGCAAAGTCCCTATTTTCAGGGCCATTGTGACTTTGGATTGGTCACTAAAGAAATGGTTGTTAAGTCGAGGGTTACCGGCGTGGTTCTGTTAGGGCATGCACGGTGCTGGGAGTAAGAAAGCAGCTAAGATAAGATAGTCATGGTGGCTTCAGTTGGTAATTTTTAACGAATGAATTAACTTTAGCAATTGGGGAGGCTGGATCTTTCTTTCTTTCTTTCTTTCTTTCTTTCTTTCTTTCTTTCTTTCTTTCTTTCTTTCTTTCTTTCTTTCTCCTTCTCTATTTTTCTTTCTTTTTTTCTCTCACTCTCTTTCTTCTTTCATTTTCTCCCTCTCCCTCCCCTTCTCCCTCTTTCTTTCTTTCTTTCTTTCTTTTTCCTTTTCTTTTTTCTCTCTCCCACTCCCTCTCTTTCTTTTCCTCTTTCTTTCTTTCTTTCTTTCTTTCTTTTTCTCTCTCTTTCTTCTTCTCTCTCTCTTTTTCTCCCTCTCCTTCCCCGTCTCCCTCCCTCTTCTTTCTTTCTTTCTTTCTTTCTTTCTTTCTTTCTTTCTTTCTTTCTTTCTTTCTTTCTTTTCTTTTCTTTTCTTTTCTTTTCTCTCTCCCACTTCCTCCCTCTCTTTCTTCTTTCTTTCTTTCTCTTTCTCTTTCCTTTTCTTTTTTCTCTCTCCCACTTTCTCCCTCTTTCCCTCCCTCTTTCTTTCTTTCTTTCTTTCTTTCTTTCTTTCTTTCTTTCTTTCTTTCTTTCTTTCTTTCTTTCTTTCTTTCTTTCTTTCTTTTTCTCTTTCTCCTCTCTCTCTTTTTCTCCTTCTTTCTTTCTTTCTTTCTTTCTTTCTTTCTTTCTTTCTTTCTTTCTTTCTTTCTTTCTTTCTTTCTTTCTTTCTTTCTTTCTTTCTTTCTCTGCTACGGGAAAAGCTGGACGGCCACACACTGTAAGCCAACGGGGCTGCGATTATCTTTTTTTGCAGTTTTATCCTGCAGCGTACCAGCACTGACTCCTTGGCCTCCGCCGCCTATTACGTGATCTTTCCAAGAACCGCTTTGTTGCTAAATGTCGCTCAACTGTGCCTCCTCTCCACTTTCTCGCCACTTCCAACAAAGCGGGTNTATACCCCGCCCTTCTCCTTGCGGACTCAGGGCGGCTGACAGCCTGATAAAAACAACTACAAAAATACCCCAAAAACTATCATTAAAACAAAGTTAAGATGAAATATTAAATTTGGCCTTATTAATTTTTAAAATTGCTTTTAAAACCCCACTAAAAATTTCCCCTTAGGCCAGTCCTGCTTGTTGGAAGAGCCATGTCCCTCTTATCAAAATCTGTCCCTCTTATCAAAATCTGTTTTTTTAATCGATTGTTAATTGATCTGTAGCTCAGTTTCCTTGTTCAGGGCCCTGGCTGAAAGGCTGCGTCTTTCTTCGTTGTGGTGGTTTTTCTTTTCTAATTTTTTGTTTAGATCCTTCACACTCGGAAAGACTGGGCAAGACATTTTAACAAAATACAACGCTGTTAGCCGAGACTTAAATTATCCTGTGCTGTACTAGTAGTCCTCAGCTTACGACTTCAGTTTAAGCAAGGCGGTTGTTAAAAGGAGTCACGTCTGATTTTACGACTTTTTATGCCAAGGTTGTTAGCGAACGACTGCAATTAAGTGACCCATGTGGTCATTAACCAAATCAGACACACACACACACAGGCACACAATGGACACCGTTTGTTAGAAGCCAGCTGGGAAGGTCCCAAATGGTGATCCCAAATGGTGGTCCTGCAGCCCTTGCAAAGGGATGCCGGTTGCCAAGCGCCTGAAATTTTGATCCGGTAATCATGGGGAGGTTGCTGTGGTTGCAAGCCCGGGTACCGGTGCAAAGTCCCTATTTTCAGGGCCATTGTGACTTTGGATTGGTCACTAAAGAAATGGTGGTTAAGTCGAGGGTTACCGGCGTGGTTCTGTTACGGCATGCGCGGAGCAGCTAAGAGAAGATAGTCATGGTGGCTTCAGTTGGTAATTTTTAACGAATGAATTTAGCAATTGGGGAGGCTGGATCTTTCTTTCTTTCTTTCTTTCTTTCTTTCTTTCTTTCTTTCTTTTTCTCTCTTTCTCCTCTCTTTTTCTTTCTTTTTCTCTCTCACTTTCTTCTCTCTCTTTTTCTCCCTCTCCCTCCCCTTCTCCCTCTTTCTTTCTTTCTTTCTTTCTTTCTTTCTTTCTTTCTTTCTTTCTCTTTCTCTCTTTCTCTCTTTCTTTCTCTCTCTCTTTCTTTCTTTCTTTCTTTTTCTCTCTCTCCTTCTCTCTCTTTCTCCCTCTCCCTCCCCTTCCCCCCTCTCTCTTTCTTTCTTTTTCTCTCTTTCTCCTTCTTTCTCTCTTTTTCTCCCTCTCCTTCCCCATCTCCCTCCCTCTTTCTTCTTTCTTTCTTTTCTTTTCTTTTCTCTCTCCCACTTCCTCCCTCTCTTTCTTCTTTCTTTCTCTTTCTCTTTCCTTCTTTTCTTTTTTCTCTCTCCCACTTCCTCCCTCCCTCTTTTCCTTCCTTTCTTTTTTCATTTCTTTCTTTCTTTCTTTTTCTCTCTCTTTTTCTCCCTCTCCCTCCCCTTCTCCCCCCTCTCTCTCTCTCTCTCTTTCTTTCTTTCTTTCTTTCTTTCTTTCTTTCTTTCTTTTTTTCTCTTTCTCCTTCTCTCTCTCTCTTTTTCTCCCTCTTTCTTCCTCCTCTTTCTTCCTCCTCTTTCTTTCTTTCTTTCTTTCTTTCTTTCTTTCTTTCTTTCTTTCTTTCTTTCTTTCTTTCTTTCTTTCTTTCTTTCTTTCTTTCCTGTGCTATGGGAAAAGCTGGACGGCCACACACTGTAAGCCAACGGGGCTGCGATTATCTTTTTTTGCAGTTTTATCCTGCAGCGTACCAGCACTGACTCCTTGGCCTCCGCCGCCTATTACGTGATCTTTCCAAGAACCGCTTTGTTGCTAAATGTCGCTCAACTGTGCCTCCTCTCCACTTTCTCGCCACTTCCAACAAAGCGGGTGGGGTAGGGGGGACCAGGACCACCGTAACCATGGCAGGCCAGGCCTCCTTCTCCTAAAGCCGATGGTTCTGGTGGCTTTTGCAGAGCTCCGAGTCCAGTCTGAAGAAGAAGCTGATGAAGCGGAAAGGGAAAACGGAGAGCCCGTGGTTGAAACCCACCCGGAAACGGAGGCGGAGAAACAAAAAGAAAAAAACCAACCTGATAGGTAAGGGAGTTGGACTGCTCTTATGATTATGATTATTATTATTATTATTTTGCTTCTTTATCGGAGACCTCAAGGGAAGGGATGGGGCGATGATGCTTTCCGGGAGATGCCAGTTGGCAGAACATCTGGAAGCTACAACTTGCTTCCCTCTCCAATCTCGGCTGTCGAAGAGTTTCTTCTGTTCTGTGAGATGGAAATGGACCTTTTTTGGCCCTTCGGTTTACGGGGCAAGTGTTCAGGATCAAGGGCCGAGGGGCGTTGCGTGTGTCACTCCGTCTCTGCTCTTTCTAAAAGGACAGTCTTACCAGACCAGGATGGTTGGCTTCAAGTGAGCCTGTGGTGCGTTTTGTCCCCTTAACTAGGTGCTAGCTAAGAGATCATCCAGGAACTTGGGGGCTTCCTGTCTCTTCCAGAAATAGAACAGCCGTATCCAGATGTTCAGCTCAGAGGGGTGGAGAAGCAGCTGTGTCCATCAATATTTCTATAGCTGGGCTGATAGGAGACGTTGGCGGTTGAGTTGGGTTGTGCTTTCCTCCACCTGGGAAGTTCTCCTTCTGAGACCAGACACTGGTGGTTTTGCTGGTTCTTCCTTCAGGAGAAGCGTGTGTGTCCCTGAGGTGATTCGGGACGACAGCTCAGCTATCTAGGATCGTTTCCTAAGGGCCACTCCATCCGTCGGGAAGGCACGGAGTGGTCCCACAGGTCAAACATCTGGACACCTGCTGCAAGGGGCCCCACGCTTCCTTGCTTCTCAACGCGCAGGGCCACTAAGCTCTGGTTTCTGATTTCCATTGCCATTGTTCGGCCTCTCGCGCGCTCCCTCCGGATGGTTGCTCAACTATCATTTTATTTTTTGAAAGCGCGACGGTGGCGCCATCCACGCCGCCAAAAGCGTTGGGGGATTTTCCTGCCCTTCGCCTTGGGCCCAGTGGCAGCCGGATTGAGCGGAAGGAAGGGCCAAAGGATGGGGCAGGGGACCACTCAGCTGGCCTCCGGAGCCCTCGGCTTGTTCCCAGGTGGCAGGGGAGGGGAAGGGCTTTGCATCTGTCTGTGTGTGCCTCTCTGTGCGTGTGTTGGAATGTGCCCGTGAGAGAGATGGAGGTGCAAATGGAGAAGAAGCGTGAACTGGTTCCCACACGTTAGTTTTCACTAGCAGGCTCCGCCTTGCTGAATAGGGAAGCTGGGATTGGCTTGCAAGCAGCTCCATTTGCCTTCAGTCCCATGTCTTCTGCTCCATGGCTGGTTGGCTGGTCTGGTGGGGCCTGGCTCTTCAAGGCTGTTGGCATCTGAGTAGGGTGAGCCAAGAGGAGGCCAGCTCTTACCTCCCTCCTTCTCTTTCTCTTTCTCTTTCCTTTTCCCTTTTCCTTTCTCTTTCTCTTTCCTTCCTTCCTCTTTCATTTCCTTCCTTCCTTTTTCTCTTGCTGTTTTTTCCTTCCTTCCTTCCTTCTTTCTTTTTTCCTTCCTTCCTTCCTTCCTTCCTTCCTTCCTTCCTTCCTTCCTTCCTTCCTTCCTTCCTTCTTTCATTTCCTTCCTTCCTTTTTCTCTTGCTGTTTCTCCTTCCTTCCTTCCTTCCTTCCTTCCTTCCTTCCTTCCTTCCTTCCTTCCTTCCTTCCTTCCTTCCTTCCTTCCTTCCTTCCTTCCTTCCTTCCTTCCTTCCCAGAGGAATTCCTGCCCCTAGTGCTTGTGCAGAAGCACTCAGATGCCTCCAAAAGAGAAGCTACCCCCTTGCTTAAACCCTGCCCGGTAGCTAAGAACTTTCCACTGTGCAACAGGAGAAGGAGATCTCCCCCCACCCCACCCCCCATCCATCCACCCAAGGAGATCAGCCTCCGTGGGCCCAGCGGTTGCCTTTTAATTGTTCTCTCCGCATCTGTATTTACCGATCCTTCAAGCAAGCGGGTGTAGCCTGCCTACTGTCTGCTAGCGATGAATGTGGCCTTTAAAGAGAGAGGCAGATGCATACTTCTTTCCTGGCGTGCTCAATCTACATGTCTTTCAAAACCAGGCCCTGAATCTTACAAGCCCCCTTTGGGGAGCGGAGAAGGAGCCGAGCAGGAGAACAGCATGGAATACATGGAGGTGCCCCTGCATTCCTTGGATCTTCGGGTGAAGGGCGTTCTGTCTTCTTCGCAACCAGAAGGTGAGTGTGTCAAGCGTCTAAATATGGCCATGTACCATTTTCCTTCTTTTGTTTCCTTGGATTCATTTCTCTATATTAAGATGATGCCCCCTGGTGGATGCTTAACAGGGAGAAGGAGAGCAGGCTGGCATCCCTCCAAAAGAGATTGTGTGTGTGTGTGTATCACAGATGGATCCAATGGAGAGAGCAGCAGCCGAGAGACGGAGTGGATCCCTTGGCCCAGCAACCTCCGGAGAAAGGAGGGAGGTGGGGCAGAAAAGATGCTTGGGGGATCCTCAAAGGGGACTGGAAACATAGGAAGGACGGTTGCAGGAACTGGGCACGGCTAGCCTAGCGAAGAGAAGGAGCAGGGGAGACAGGGTAGCAGTCTTCCAATATTTGAGGGGGGGTCTCACGAGAGGAGGGGGGCCAGCCTGTTCTCCAAAGCACCTGAAAGCCAGACAAGGAATAACGGATGGAAACTGATCAAGGAGGGATTCAACCTAGAAATAAGGAGGAATTTTCTGACAGTGAGAACCACCCACCAACGGAACAGAAGTTGTGGGACCTTCATCACTGGAAGCTTTCAAGAAGAGGCCAGACTGCCATCTATCAGGAATGGTGTAGGGTCTCCTGCTTGAGTGGGGGTGTTGGACTAGATGACCTACAAGGTCCCTTCCAACTCTTGTTATTCTATTCCATTGAGGACCAGGGTGGGTCAGGATGCCGCAAAGCCCCTCAATTCAGTGACAGTGTCTCCCAATGGCTTCCAGCTCCAATTTCTTCTTCTTCGCTCTTCTGCTGACCAGGATTGGCCTTTCTTGCCCAACAACGCTCAGATCCCACGAACTTCTATGAGCTTCCTTGGAGCCTTGTCTATTTTGGAAGAGCAGAACGAGCTTCTCCATCGTTTTGCTCAACCAGGGAGCTTCATCTGGCTGCTCCATCCGCAACCTCTTTGCCCAAGGCAGTGTAGCTTCTGATCTTCATTCCAAGAGACACAGTTTGCCCGGCTGGCAGGAGAAGCTGGTCATGTTCCTTCAGAGCCCAACCGTGGTCTTAGTCCCTGCTCGAGATGATGGGAAAGGGCTTCTCTTCTCTCCTTTCCCACTCGTTACAGCTGTGGCGAGGCAGAGTGTATTGATTGTGAGAAACCGGGGCACCCACCCATTAATTTCAAACAGCAGTTGCTGAGCACCTGCTCCGGGGATCAAGGGAAGAGTAGATTAGTTTAACTATTCTGAGCAGCAGCAGCCAAGGTTTCTGAGTAGGCTGATGGCCAAACGTAGAAGGCCGTTCCTAGCTCCGATAGCTGGGCTGAAATCCAAAGGTTGCCTGTTCTTGTCCCTCTGGAAGGCTGCAGATGTTAGATCCAATAGAGGCACTTTGAAGCAACCTTGGATCTTTGGAATGCGTTGGCCAACACTTCTAATCTGCCAGACAACTGGAGGACAGCAGAGCTAAACAGGAACCTCACCGAATATGGAGCAAATGGGACATTTCTTACAGTAAAGAGTCTGCCAGGTGCCATAACAACAACAACAACAACAACAAGATGATGATGATGATGATGATGTTGATGATGTTGGAAGTGACCTTGGAGGTCTTCTAGTTCAACCCCTTCCTCAAGCAGGAGACCCTACACTATTTTAGACAAATGGTTGTCCAATCTCTTCTTAAAAACCTCCAGGGATGGAGCACCCACAACTTCTGGAGGCAAGTCATTCCGCTGATTAATTGTTCTAACTGTCAGGAAGTTTCTCCTTAGTTCTAGGTTGCTTCTCTCCTTGATTAGTTTCCATCCGTTGCTTCTTGTCCTGCCTTCAGGCGCTTTGGAGAATAGCTTGACTCCCTCTTCTTTGGGGCAGCCCCTGAGATACTGGAACACTGTCTTTCCTTTTTTCTCTGTAACTCTTCTTCTGACATGCGTGCTTGACTATGAATGCAGCAAGGATGTCCCACAGTCCCACCATTCTTCAAATAAAGCCAACCCCCCCTCCCTCTTTCAGTCTTCCTCCTTAACTTTGGACATAATGCTCATATCGGAATAACAGAGTTGTTCTTCTTGAACCTTGGAGGTCTTCTAGTCCAATCCCCCCTGCTCAAGAGGAAACTATACCAGGGGTCTTCAAACTTGGCCCTTTTATAACTTGTGGACTTCAACTCCCAGAATTCATCAGCCAGCTTGGACCATATAAGCCAGGGGTCTTCAAACTTGGCCCTTTCATGACTTGTGGACTTCAACTCCCAGAATTCCTCAGCCAGCAGCATGCTGGCTGAGGAATTCTGGGAGTTGAAGTCCACAAGTCATAAAAGGGCCAAGTTTGAAGACCCCTGCTCTATACCATTTCAGACAAATTCGATCTCTTCTTAAAAACCTCCAGTGGTGGAGCACCCACAACCTCTGGAGGCAGGTTGTTCCGATGATTAATTGTTCTCACTGTTAGGAAATTGCTTTTAAGTTCTAGATTGCTTCTCTCCTTGATGAGTTTCCATCGGTTGCTTCCTGTCCTGCCTTCAGGCGCTTTAGAGAAGAGATTGACCCCCTCTTCTTTGGGCAGCTCCTTAGGGTAGCCTGCTCTGTCTTAACCTTCTGTAGGAATCTCTCTTTCCCTTTTTTTTTTCTCCCGCAGGTCTTTCTAATGGTCCTGGAGCAATGGAAACAGAATGTCTCCAAGAAGTGCCTCTTTGTAGCTGCCGGATGGAAACCCCGAAAAGCCGGGAGATCACCACACTCGCTAACAACCAGTGCATGGCCACAGAGAGTGTGGATAAGGAGGTAAGGTGCCTTGATGTCTCCTCTCTTCTACTGTTCTCCGTGGGCGACCGTTGGCTGTCTGGCTCACCTGCGAATCTGAAAGAGACTGCCACGTTTAGGAAATCAGGAAACCGTGCTAACCTTCTCTAGAAGAATCTGAGCTAGTAACGGTCCAAGCAAATTGGAGGTAGATAAGGGTCAACAGAGCTCAAGGTGGGTTGGATTTTGTTCTTGTGGGTATCGAAGGGACTCAAGACTGATGACACATTTGACCCCTCCCTCGGTTCTCCTGTACAGACACTTTCAGTCTTGCATTAGCCTTTGAGCCTCTGCTTCAGACACTTAGGCTCCCGGGCTGGGACTGGGACTAGGACTAGGCTTAGCTGTTAGATAAAGGAGCTTCCCAAAGCCTTTGTTCCCGATGGTGGGTTAAATGAGGTCCATTGCATGTCTTGAAGTTCATGTGTGTCTTCTGATGAGAGGTTTTCAGAGTGGGTGTGACGCTGGGGCGGGCTTCACCACATCATCAAGAACACTACTTTGGAATCCCCTGGTAGATGGACTGAGTCCACCTACAGGGAGGGAGAGAGAAAGGAAGAAAACAGGAAGGAAGGGAAGGAGATGGAAGGAAAGAAGGAAGGAAGGAAGGAAGGAGATGGAAGGAGGAGGGAGGGAAGAAGGAAGGAAGGAGATGGAAGGAGGAGGGAGGGAAATAAAGAAGGAAGGATGGATGGATGTAAGGAAATGGAAAGAGGGAAGGAGAGGGAGGGAGGAAGGAAGGAGAGGGAGAGAGAAAGGGAGGGAGGAAGAAGATGGAAGGAGGAGGGAGGGGAAAAAAGAAAGAAGGAAGGAAGGAAAGAAATGGAAAGAGGGAAGGAGAGGGAGGAAGGAAGGAAGGAAGGAAGGGAGGAGAGGGAGAGAAAGGGAGGAAGGAAGGAAGGAGAGGGAGGGAGGGAGGGAGAAAAGGAAGGGAAAGGAAGGAAGGAAGGGCTTTCTCAAACAGCCAACCAAAATTTTGATATGGAAAAACCACTCTTTTCCGATCCATTTTCTTTTTGGGGGGATGACTTTTTGCACTTCAATCAGGCTAACCTACTCTTTGGCCAGAAGGCTCGCCCTTCCTTCAGGTAGCCAGCGAGAGGAGGCAGAGATGTGGGCATCCACGGATGGTTTACCCCCCAAACGCATTGCCCTCCCCGGGCCTCCGCTTGTCCCGGGGGGCTCGGCTGGTGGGATTTTGCCGCCCGCCGGCTGTGTGAAAAGAGCTGCCGACACGCCATTTCACGTGGTTCTTCTCTTCTTTCACGTCCGTGCGCTAGCCAGAAATCTCTTTTTCCTCCCTCCCTCCCTCCCTCCCTCCTCTCCCCCACACCCCACCCCACCCTCAGCTGAGCCGATGCACCAACCGTGTGCTGAAATACGAGCTGATGCGTGCCTCGAACAAAGTCCAGCTCCTGGTGTTGTGCGAGGACCACCGAGGGAGGATGGTGAAGCATCAGTGCTGTCCTGGCTGCGGCTTCTTTTGCATGGCGGTAAGCATCGGACGGGCTGGACCTCAGGGGACAAAATACTCTTGCCTCTTTCCAGAGACAGTTGCGCCCTGTGAGCTTCCCTTTTCTTTGGGCAACAGATAAAATAAGAATAACGATTTTTTTAAAACAAAAAATTCCTGGAATGTAGACTAGAATAGAACAATAACTTTATTGCCCCTTTGAACGTAGACTAATCGGCATACATTAAAATGAAATTCCGTTGCATGCAGCTCTCCAAGGGTTCCACCACTACATAAACAGGACCCAAATAAAGAAATAAATGCAGAATTAGGCACGTACCCACATATGTTATGTGACACAGAGAAACAACACACTCTAGTTTGGGTTACGGATACGTGCGCGTGGCGAGAAAAACGAACGAGTGGCAGTCTGAGTAGATGCCGGCTTTGATATTCTGGTGCCCAAGCCACCGTCTCTTCTTAAAATACAATCCCTTACTGGAAGCAGAGGGGAGAGTAGTCCTCCACTTTACAACGGCTCATTTAGTGACTTAGGACCGTTTTTCACACTTGCTCCCCGGATCAAAATTCAGACGCTTGGCAACCGACTCATATTTAGGACGGTTGCAGCGTCCCGGGATCGCGTCATTTTTTTTCCCCCTCCTACCTTTTGCAACCTTCTGACAAGCAAAGTGATTCACTTCACAGCGGTGGAGAGAAAGCCGTAAAGCGGGGGCCAAACTCACTTAGCCACAGAAATTCGGGGCTGAGTTTTGATCATAACTTGAGGACTACCTGTGTTTTTTCCCCTTTGGCCGTTCCTTCCAGGGCACGTTCATGGAGTGCCAGCCCGAAAGCGGCATCTCTCACCGGTTCCACAAAGAGTGCACTTCCCACGTCAAAGGCATGAGCTACTGCCCCCACTGTGGGGAGGAGGCCTCCAAGGCGAAAGAGGTCACGGTGGCCAAGGCGGACACCACCTCCAGCCTGCTGCTGACCTTGGAGCCGAAGAAACCAAGTGCTTCAGAAGGAAAGGCCGACACGACCACTGGAAGGTAAGTCCTGGCTGGAGAGACTTCTTTCTCCGAACAAAGCTTATTAGCTCCTTCGTAGCTGGAAGGAGAGCAGGAAGAGAAGGAGGAGGGGGTTGCTTTCTCCAGCTGTTGGACCTTCCCTTCCCTTCTTCATCCTTCCCTCCCCTCCCCTCTCACTTTCTTAAAATCTTTATCTCCTTCTACTGTGGAGGGAGGAAAGCAAGCAATTTCTGTAGGCAATCTCCCTTTGGCCTGACCCTCCTATGCCCCCACACACAAATAGAGAATTTGGAAAGTGATTTCAAGAGACTAAGTTGTTTTCTTCTTCTACGCATCAAAAGCAATGCGATAGCACTGGCAGCAGGAAAAGGAGAGTATGCTGCAGAAATAAGTTTGCTTTTGTTCCCCTATCCCGCCCGCAGAGGGGAGAGATTGGAGAGAAAGGGATTTGAAGAGAGTGAGCTATCTGCATAGCGTGCCTGTGGCTCCCAGCCCCAGGCTGCCAGTATAATGTGTAGAAGACAGACACTCAAGGCACTCCCAAGTTATGGGGGTGTGTGGTTAGAAGGCCAACAAAAGCCGAAGGTGTGAAACTGGGTAGTCTTGAACCGTTTCCGACTGGAATGTACGATTGCGGCCACGTGATTTCCCAACTAGCGACTTGCTTCGTTTCGCAAAATGGAACATTTGTTGGGATTTTGTTCTCTTGGGTTCAGTTTCGGCGGGCCTGCCACGCAGCAACCTGAAGAAGTCAGACCTGAGAACTTGTCCACCGAGGTGTTCGATTTGGCCGGGACATCGACGTTCCCTAAGCCGGTCTCGACCGGCTTACCTCAAGGGCCGGTTAAAGAAACGTTGGAGAGCGCCTTGATTGCCCTGGATTCAGAAAAGTAAGCAACTAAGTTGGATGGGGCTTCTGTTCTATTGTCAGGACCGTGAACGCCGGTCCTGCTTGCATCATGGAAGGTCAGCATCTCCTGCGTTGGCTCGTTGTCCAGACTACCCTGGTTAAGTTGACCACATCCAGCTAAGCTAACCAAATATTGACGTTTTCTTGGTGGGAATCAAAGCGAAGTTCTTTGGGGGGGAAATCACAGAATCCCGCGTCTCCCATTCCAGGCCTGTGGCTTGGCTTCCATCTCTTCGTTCCTCATTCCCAGCCCAAAAGTTCCAGCATTAACTTATCAATTAAAATGGAAGCGGTTCTGTTAAAAATAGCTGAGAGTGGCTGTCAGCTACAAAACAGCAGAGCCGAGAAATGGTATCGATATTCCTACGGATTTAAAAAAGAGGTGTAAAATAAGAGGAAAGAGGATTTTGGTTTATTTATTTTCTGGGTGTTCAGAAGAAATGGATATGTTTTCTCCCTGTTTTCGTCTCAAAACCAAAAACATCTTTCCCTGCGATGAGCGGATGGGACTATTAATAAAACAAGAGAGAGAAAACACACACACAAACGACAGCTCTGACTAGTAGCCACTTGGAGTTAACTCTTCCTCTGTTTTCACAGGCCCAAGAAATTGCGATTTCACTCGAAACAGCTGTACTTCTCAGCCAGGCAAGGCGAGCTTCAGAAGGTTCTCCTTATGTTGGGTGAGTAAAATTCCTCTCCCCCCCACATTTAACAACACACATTGCAATTAGTAGAAAGTCTTCTTTTTTGATGAATGGGTGTGGTCACGATCTTCCGTGACAGTGAGAACAGTTAATCCAGCCAAGAACTAAGGAGAAATTTCCCAACAGTGAAAACAATCGGGGGAACAACTTGCCTCCAGAAGTTGTGGGTGCTCCATCACTGGAAGTTTTCAAGAAGAGATGGGACAACCACTAGTCTGGAATGGTACAGGGTCTCCTGCTTGTGCAGGGGGTTGGACTAGAAGACCTCCAAGGTCTCTTCCAGCCCTACGATCCTGTCATTCTAAGAAACCAGCTAAAGATGTTCTGGAGAAGTTCTACACCCTCCTGAAGCAGGATGTAGGCAAGAGAAGCTTCTTCCATGGATGCAAGCAGTGTCCCAATATCTAAGGGTCTGCCCCCAAAAAGGAGGCAGGACAAGACGCAATAGATGGGGACTCATTTACTCTTTGACACCCTTGTCTTGTCTCCTCTTGGCACTCCCCCCCCCTCCTTGACTTCTGACTGCAATTGAGCCTGGAATTATGGATCGTGTATCTTGCCGATTGTTAGGTGGATCATCCATCCCACGTCTTGCAGCTGTTGGAACTTTGAACCATCAGCGGTCCTAAGTAGCTTTCTTGGGCTCTGTTGTAATTTTGAACAGTTTGCTAAGCAACTGGTCATAAGTGGGTTTGGTTTTCCCTCCCTTTTATTTTTTATTTTTTGCTCAGTGGATGGGATCGATCCCAACTTCAAAATGGAGCACCAGAGTAAAAGGACGCCTCTTCATGCAGCCGCAGAGTCGGGACACGTGGACATTTGTCACATGCTACTTCAGGTTCATCCGTAATTTTTTTTTCTAAAAAAAAAAATGTGTTTATTTCCTGACTGGGTGTAGGTTCCCTTCTTCTTCCTAGAGAGCCAAATCAATTGGGGATATTGAGCATCTGTTTCTTTCACTCAGGAGATGCTGAGTTTATTCTAAAAGTAATAAAAGGTTGCAGATTCCAAGTTTTTGGTGGTTGAATGGGCACTTTAGGTTGGAGAGTCTTGCAACCACGTAGACAATAGGATTCTTCGTCTAGACCCCATAATGCTCGCCCTGGCTATTGGCTCAAGGGTTGAGGAAGATTGAGGTTGGGATGGAATCAAGTAGACTTGCAACCACGTAGACAATAGGATGCTTCGTCTAGATCCATAATGCTTGCCCTGACTATTGGCTCAAGGGTTGAGGAAGATAGAGGCTGGGGTGGAGTCAAGTCGATCGCTTTGGATTTTCTGCATGGGGAAGAAAAAGTAATTAAGAGTTAAGAGTTTACCAATAAAGGAGAATATTTGTAGCTCAGGGTTGACATGATGGTTCTTGTGCTCTCTGAGCTTGCTTGTTTTCTTGCAGACGTTTCATTACCCAAACTAGGTAACGTCATCAGGAAATGAAATGTCTGCAAGAAAACAAGCAAGCTCAGAGAACCCCAAGGACCCACCCCTTAGTTAAAGAGTTGGTTCATTCTAGCCAGTATGACCTTGTGGGTTGGGGTGCCAGATCAGGACCACGGAGAGCTGCCTTGCCTGACCTACTTGATAGAACTGTTGGGAAGAAACAGTAGAGTAGCTATGCATCTCTTGGGCTTCTTGAAAAAAAGAAAAAGAAGAGAGGAAGAGACAGCAAATTCCACAACTGCAATGTCTTTATGGATTCTGTGCAGCCACAGGACCCATTTTGTTGTTGTTAGTTGCGAAGTCGTGTCCGACCCATCGCGACCCCATGGATAACGTTTCTCCAGGCCTTCCTGTCCTCTACCATCTTCTGGAGTCCATTTAAGCTCACACCTACTGCTTTAGTGACTCCATCCAGCCACCTCGTTCTCTGTCATCCCCTTCTTCTCTTGCCCTCCATCTTTCCCAGCATTAGGCCCTTCTCCAGTGAGTCCTTCCTTCTCATTAGGTGGCCAAAGGACTTGAATTTCAACTTCAGGATCTGGCCTTCTAAAGAGCAGTCAGGGTTGATCTCCTCTAGGACTGACCGGTTTGATCGCCTTGCAGTCCATAAGGAGCATCAGTTGCACATATCCACAAGTCCCTTTTTTTTTGTAGAGTAGGTGGTAGCGTCTGCACAACACCACTAAAGCCACAAACTGGCAAATCTCCTTTACGTTTTAGCACGAGGCACGAACCCCATCAGAATGTTAGGTGGGGTTGCTTAAGCAACTAGCCTGTTAAACATATAAAAAAAAGCTAACTGTAGTTCTTCCTTTGTGTTCTGGGTCTGCATGTTACCTCTGCACAGGCTGGCGCTAACATAGACACCTGTTCTCAGGACCAGAGGACCCCCCTTATGGAAGCAGCAGAGAATAACCATCTGGAAACTGTGAAATACCTCATTAAGGCTGGAGCACTGGTAGACCCCAAGGTAATGCTTGGTTTGTTTTCTTACAACTTCCACAGGAGCCACACGGGGGTGTGAATATTGGTTTGCAAACCACCAATGGTGCGTTCGGCTAACCTGCCAAGCCAAAGGCTTCTCAGCTTAGTATCAAGTGGGAATCAGTCAACCATCAGTTGGGTTGAAGACCTCAAAGTTGCATTGCTGTTGATGTAGCCATTCAGCCCTAGATCCCTACCAAAAGAGAATGGAAAATAGAGTACAGAACAGACTAGAATAGAATAGAATAAAAGAAAAACTTTGTTGTCATTTTAAATGTACACTTTTTAAAAATAATTTGAATAGAATAGAATAGAATAGAAGAGAGGAGAATAGAATAGAATAGAATAGAATAGAATAGAATATTGGAATAGAATAGAATAGAATATTGGAATAGAATAGAATAGAATAGAATAGAATAGAATAGAATAGAATAGAATAGAATAGAATAGAATAGAATAGAATAGAATAGAAATAAGAGTTGGAAGAGATAGAGTAGAGTAGAATAGAATATGGAATGGAATAGAATAGAATAGAATAGAATAGAATAGAATAGAGTAGAATATGGAATAGAATTAGAATAGAACAGAATAGAATAGAATAGAATAGAATATGGAATAGAATTAGAATAGAATAGAATAGAATAGAATAGAATAGAATAGAATAGAATATGGAATGGAATGGAATGGAATAGAATAGAACAGAAACGTTAATGTCACTTTAAATGTACACTAATCAGCATACATTAAAATGAAAAGCATTCAGCTCTTACAAGATAACCATTATGCATATACCCACATTCACACACATATATGACACAGAGAAACATCACAGTCTGGTCCGAATGTCTGGTGAAAAAATAAATAAATAAAAAGAATCCTGTGAGTTTACAAGACGGATGGCATAAGGAACAAAGCCAGAATTACAGAATCTAATAGTCCTGCTATAGATACTTCAAAACCTCCTCCCAGAGGGGGAGCGACAGAAACAGACCGTGAAGTGTGTGCGTGTGTGTGTGTGGGGGGGTGTCTATGGGGTCTCTAACAATGCTTGGCGCTCTAAGCACATGCAAGCGCTTATAAGCTTCTTATCATCATCTGGGCTGTCCTCACCACTCTCCGGGTGG